ATTTTGGATTGACTCGACTTTGAAAGATAACAAAGTATTTTTGCCCTTCGTGCTCAAACTCTTTCGCAAAGAGCTTGGCTACTTCAAGTTTAGGTGTCGAATAAATGCCTCTTCCGAATTTGAATCGGTCACCTTTGCTAATCTTGAAGCTTTGCTCAGCAATGCACATCGCGTTGTGTTTTTCCGTTCCATGATAGGAGACTGGCCATTCTTCTGAATCATTACCTGCCATTCCGAGCCATCGATCATCATAACCGTACTTTCCAACCACGTTGAGTGCAATGCGGTTGCAGCCATAGGGACGTTCATATGGATAATTGCCTCTGATAAATACTTCATCTGTATCAACAATATTGGTGAAATCATAATCCAAGTGAGGCGCGAGTGAAGCGGGATCAAGAGCAAGTGGACCTTTCAGCATAATTTTCATATTCAATGGATCGTGCCAGTCAGCAAGGCAGTTGTAAATAATTTCATCATTTCCGAGTTCTTGATCACCTTTCAGAATTTGTTGATATTCAGCATCAATACCTTCTTGGTCCTGAATAATCGTTTTCAGCTGATAGATGGAAATGTCATCAGTAAGATCGACTTGGAATATTTTGCCTGTAGAAAGTATGATGCATACTTGTCGATGAACTGGTTCAGATATTTTTATTTCAATGATCTGACCAGCCTCTATTCCATACGAAGAACATGCACGTTGTTTTTCGGCAAGCGAATGATGGGTGATTGTAGAAAACACGCTAATGCGATAAGGAAGTATGGCTAATTCGTTTGCAATATAACTGATTGCTTCCGCGACGGTGGCTGATGGCAATAGTGAACTTGGATGACATTGATCTGAAGATCCAGATAACTTCCAGAACAAAGTATGACTAGTTATTGAAAGTTTGATGACATCTCCGTTGACTGTTCGCCTGCTGCCGAAGATATAGTAAGTCTTTAGCTTCAGATGCTGGGTTTGAATAGCATAGCCTAAATTTTGCTCAATCATTTTCTTCAAATTCAAATCTGTTGGCGGTTCATTTAGTAAAACGACGCGTCGATTACCAGTTGGAAGATCGACAGCAATAATGAGAGTATTATTCCTATTGTCGATTACAAATACCTCTTCGTTTGATTTTGGATCGGAAAATGTTCTTTGATTATTATTTTGGAATTCGTTATGCATGAACAGTACTTGATTTTTTATCGGAATATTCAGTTGTTCTTGAATAAGACGTTTAATATCACCGATAGAATCATGATCCGTAATAGACAGAGCAAGACCACTTGGTCTTAGTACCACTGTATATCTTTTGACACACATCGGCCCGCCTCCTCGGTGTCGAAGGGCAAGATGAAGTGTGTTTTCTGTTTGAATATTATAATCACTCAGTGTGCGTCCGTCTTCTAATTGCCTGCCATCGAAAATCAGTCGCTGTTGGTCCGTTGGAATTCCTTCTTTGTCTTGAATTTTAGCTTTTACATTTTCGATGATGTCGCTTGGTTCGACTTCTAGTATTATCGTTTGTCCAATTAAAGTTTTGACAAAGATCAGCATATCCTCCCCACATAAGCGAAGAATAAGGTGACATGTGCTCTCTTTTTGAATATTATAATCACTCAGTGTGCGTCCGTCTTCTAATTGCTTGCCATCGAAAATCAGTCGCTGTTGGTCCGGTGGAATTCCTTCTTGGTCTTGAATTTTAGCTTTTACATTTTCGATGGTGTCGCTCGGTTCTACTTCCAGTGTTATCGTTTGTCCATTCAATCTTTTGACAAACATCTGCCAGCCTCCTCGTAGTCGAAGGGCAAGATGAAGTGTGTTTTCTGTTTGAATATTATAATCACTGAGCGTTCGTTCGTCTTCCAATTGTTTGTTAGCAAAAATCAGTCGCTGTTGGTCCGGTGGAATTCCTTCTTGGTCTTGAATTTTAGCTTTTACATTTTCGATAGTATCGCTCAGTTCCACGTCTATCATAATCATTTTTCCAGTTAAAGTTTTGACAAACAGTAGGTTATCATATAATCGACGATGAAGATATAGGACAGATTCATTCCTTATAGTATAATCTTCGAATGTTCTGTCGTCCTTCAATACTTGACAGTTGAACAGTAATATCTGTTGATCGAGTGGTATTCCTTCTTTTTCTTGAAGTTCCAACGTCAGACTTTTAATAGTGTCAGTCTTTAAAACTTGCAATGGTATTTCTTTGCTTCCATGATTTATATAAATTGTGAATGTTATATCGGTAATTCGAACAGCCCATGGAAAGATTTTGAGAGGATCAACCGTAACCGCTGGAGCTGAAGTCTTCAATGTTGAAAGTCCAAGCAATGATGAGAAAGCTGCTGTAATCAAACTATCATTCGACGTCATGGGAAGCTTTTAAGAGATCCCAAGCTACTTTGAATGAGTAAAACAAAGATTCCAATCTAAAACTCAGTAGTTAATTAATAGAAACTAAAAGTAACAAGAAATTCTGATAGGATGCAAAAAAACTTGATGAACTAAAAAAAACCGTTGCATTGTGAACAACATGATGGAGGTAATGATGTTCACAGTTAGCATATAGCTCTACAAAGGAAAAATTGGAAATTGCAGACATTTTCAAGAAACTACTAAATAGTATCTGCAATAGGTGTTCGTGAAAGAGTGATTAACGTTCAAAAACTTGCTCCGATCACAAACTATTTGTTGAACCTCGGATCGGATCGAAGCTGGCTCCGGTCACTAAAAAGTGACCTGTGACAGTCACTGTTTCCTCCTTTTATCCGGCTAGCCACATTCAGAAGAGCTGAAACCTTTTTATGACAACTTCGAATAAATTTGACCCCGTTAAGTCATTCTTCAGAGACCATGGAAAAGAGTGGATGCTATGAATTATCGCATCATTTTCAAGAAACCACTAAATAGTATCTGCAATAGGTGTTCGTGAAAGAGTGATTAACGTTCAAAAACCTTTGAATGATTATGATTGGTTAATACTCCCATATTAGTGTTGCCAGTTCGACCTTGTTGCCTTCATTTCTACCGACTAGCCTGAGTTATAAAATATTAACCCTATCTGTTTTGGTTCGGATGAGTCAAATTGGGCGACTAGGCGACTCCACACTGGGATTTCTAACCTGGATGATATTTTGTGAAATTCGCTGGATTGATAACTTTCAAATGAAATAAAACTTTGAAGACTGACATACTTTTCTTGAACAACTTCCTCTGACACCTATCACAAAGCTGAGTAGACAAAAAAACAGTAACCGTGTGCGATCGAATTAACCGTGGATGAGCCACCAAAAGAAAGTTGAACCATAAGTCCTGTCATGGGATTTTAAACTTTGTTCATCTTATTGGATTGAATTTTCATGAAGATAACCTAAGATGAACTAATCTCTTCAAATATTTTCGCAAAAGGACAATAGTAGACAACGGTTGAAATAAATTCATTATTGCGCTCACTATTTCCCAGAGCCGCTCTTACATCTACTCAAACACAATCATTCGGTCTGAAATCCGGTAACGGAAAATATGACTCGTGACGCTCACTACAGATTGATTTTTGAAATTTTTGAAAACAACGCTCACTACAAATTTGCTACGACTAGTTTCGTCGATTGTCTTTTGACTGATGAAGTAACCGTTCGGTTTAAACATATTGCCATAACAGACGAGTGTTTTGATTTTATCAGAATATTATCCAGTGACCATGTGTCTGAACCTACCCCTCATTCACCTGATAGATACAACGTATTTTGCATTCATTATTTGCATAGTCATTTTGCACAGACACATGGTCACTGGATAATATTCTGATAAAA